TTTTTTTAAATATGAATTGCTCCATTACATGAAAGTAAATAATTAAGGTTCCATACATTATGTACATAACTATAAGTTAAAAATACAATATTAATTAAGAGGAAAACAAATGTGACCAAAACTAGGAATAGATACATAAGAATCATTCATAAATCTTTCATAGGTCAATGAAATTCAAACTATCAATAACACAGTCATAGTAAGGAGTTTAACTATACTATCATATTTGGAATATGTTTATTTATTACATTATTTATTTTTGAAAAAGAATTGAAAGACTTCAATTTTAACTTAGAACTAGACGTTAAAAATAACGCATTAAACCTACTATATGTAACAAAAAAACATTGGTATTAGACGCATACATGTATGTACTCATACGTTATCCGTGCATTGACGGATCAGAACGACGACACATTGTGCCTGTTGAACGAGGTTCATTCGAGGTCATTTTTCAAATTTTCCTCAATTCTATGAACTTCAATTTATTGTTATGAGTGAATTTCATCAGCGCATACATTAATCAAAAGAATTTTAATTATTGTAAAGTAATCAAAGGTGAGTAAAGAGTCAGCCTACTAAAGCAATGAAATCTTGTTCTTGCTTAGGCAAATACAGAAGAGTCTGTTTTGGGATATTTTAAAATACTATAAAAAAATATAAGCACTCTAAGATACTCACGCTGTCCTACGGGATACATTTTTGCAGCTGACGATAAAAAAAGACCAGATAACCACTAATAAATAAGTAAAAAATTTAACACAAAACCCACTGACCACACAACACACTTCTCCACAATACACACTGCGAACGAGACTGCCTTCTGCAATGGCTGCCACCAACTTCATTCCAATTGATCTTATCTTAACCAATCAGCGCATAATTAATAAAACAGTAGTTAATAGTTCTGGTCTCTATTTGTTTTTTCCATAAATTATTCGAATTTGTCATTTTTTAATGGAATTACGGATTACAAATACTATAAAAATATGTATATTGCTTAAGACAAATTTATAAAACATCAATGATACATCATACGTTGTTAGTAACATTTCTAACATGATAGTCTCACAACATTTTCAAATTACTAAATATTATAGTATCTTACGTATAACAAGTAATATAAAACATTTCGTTTTACACTTTGACTTAGTTAAATATTTCACTTTTATGACTAGTTATAATTCAGTGACAATACTTTTTATTTACATTGGCAGCACTGCAATTGTAACTATTTTCCCTAGAAAAGCAAGATTGGTGATACTCGTTACACGCGATTGCGTGTTCGATTTTCGAAATGTCGATTCCTTTCAATGGAACTCGTACACGCTCACAAGGATTAATAAGTGCAATTATAAAGCACTTGAGAAGTTTAACCTTAAAACCGGTAAAATCAATAGACATCAAATTTGATCCCTTTCATGATACAGCTTGCGAAACAAGGTTAGTTCAATGAAATTATATTCGTTATATGCATTTTATTAATATGTAATTAAATTTTCTCTATTTTTCAATTTTCAATAAACAA